AAAGAAAATTATAATTTACAAAGTTAAAATACATGATTTGATCTGCTACCCCTGACAATTTCCTTCCTGTTGTACTCTTTGCAAAATTGTAATGTTGCCCATCAATTCCAGAAAAAAGCATATAAAGTCATTTAGAAGTGGGGTGTACACCTGTGCCCAAAGGACAAGTCAGGCTGTCAAGTAGGCACCAACATGAGTACAACCATCACAGCTCAAGTCCTGGCTTATCAGCAAAACCGCAGTGATTATGTGGCACAATAATCTTTGCTTGAATAATACCTATTTGTCAAAAAAAAAAACAACAAAAAAGCAGAAAAATAGTTCTTATTTGCTGAAGTGTCTCAGATTTAAAGGAATTTAAACCTCCTTTTTGTAAAATTATTTGGTCAAAATAAATACATAACATTCTACAATAAGCAAAATTATTTCTTTCCCACAGCCACTTTTTTCCCCTACTACTCATCTGACAATATTCTTTGTTTTAATATTTTAGGTTGTTCCAGATAACATATTAGTTTAGATTTTTTTTTAGGGTCCCTTTTCCTCCTTAATTAGAATATTAAAATCACAAAAACTTTCACAGGTTAGAGAAACTATACAATTAGCAGTCAGAATCACTGGAATGTAGCTTGGGGAATCAGAAAGGAATACTCCTGCTGACAGTCTGTTTTCTGACAGTCATCTGTGAAATTTTCATTAATGATGTTCATTGTTCTGTCTATGTTACACCTGTGTAATGAAAGTATCTTTAATGCTTTAAAGATACCGGGAAAAATCCACTACGTGCAATATCCACTGACATGGAGCACACCACTTCAGTGTGATATATGATTAGAAAAGATAACTACCACTCTGTTCAGCTGATATTCAGATGTGAAATGAAGTCATGTAATTCTAAAACAGGGTCAAATTAATTCACAGTCATAGTGGACAACTGTTCACTCTCATATGCATGATGTTTTTTATTATTTCCTCCTTTAGGCATCTTGTAAGTGAAGGATTGAAATTTCAACTCTATTCCTTTCAGAAGACTAAAGCTATTATTTTGTTTTCTGTGTTTGTCTTTATTTATTGTATGACATTTCTTTTGGTTTTTTGCTTTTGGGTTGTTTTTTTTTTTAATTTATATTACTGAAATTGTTAAACTGCACTGGTATGCTAAAAATAAAAAAATTGTGGGTAATACAGTGAAAAGTCTAAATGGAATGTGACTGAACAGAACGTGTTTAAGAACTAAACCAACCCCATAATCAGTTTGGAGATACTTCAGCAAAGATGCCAAACTTCTCAGAGAAAAAAAGATTCAGTGGATGCGTGCAGTTGGCAGAAGTTACAAGTTAAGAAAAAAAATACAATCTACTCTGTAGCTCTCAAAGGTTTTGTGCAGCACAGGGAAATGGGCAGACAGAAATCTTAGTACAGAAATACTTAGTACAGTGACTGTTCCCTCCTGTGTGCAAACAGCCAGGCTCACTATTAAAGGTTTGCTTTTAGTTATGTCAGCAAGAAATTATTTTAGCAAGAACTTTGAATTTAAAAACACAATACTCATAGCTAAGACAGCCGTTTTTTTAAGACAGCTAAAGCTCAAGGAAAAAATATGTTGTGGGTTTTTGTTTTGTTTGTTTTTTTCCTATACAGAATCTTTGGGAAGCAGTTATACCTGGCCAAATATATGCATGCATATGTATGCATATATATTAAATACATGTATTTTATATACATATATTTCTCTTTTTGCCAGTAATAAAATGTATCTTTGAAGAAAAGAGGTTATGGACATACCCATCTACTGCAGCCAAGGGATCTACAAGGGTGCCTGGGATCCACAAAACAAGTACGTGTGCACAGTAACTATTATCCAAAATTTCCAAAGTCCAGTAATTTCTATTGACAGCAAGAAGACTTTCCAAATTTGCTTTCTTCTGTCCTCTCTCCCCAAAGCTCTGCAGGCAGGAGCCCCCTCCCTTCCCTCCCTCCTTCCTATCTCTTCCCATTAGAAATGTCACTACCCCATCTGCTGCCCCTGAGCTCACTCGTGCTGGCAGGGACTCACGGGCAGAACGAAGGAGCTGGAGTCATTCAGCATAATGTGCTACACACACCCTTCCAAGGCAATTACTAGCACTTTTTACCAAGAAAAAAATGTTATGCAGAAAGGATTTATGCTGCTATGGTTTTCCTTTGATGCCTGTAAGACAGATCAGGACACATCTCCTGCATCATTAAATCCAACTCCTTCTTGCTGCAGGGACCATGTAGTTTATTTATTCCATCTGAGTGTCTGTGCTTTGTGTCATCCAAGCTAAGTGGTGACCAAGGGAATTGCTTCCCTGGACACAAGAGATGCTGCTGTAATACGTGAATTACATGGAATTATCTTTGTGCATCTATCTCAAATGATGTTACAATTTCAGCCAACAAATGTACATGTTACTGTGGTCAGCAGGCTTTCACTCACTTGAAATGATGAATACTTTATGGTTTTTATCAAATAAAACTGTAATAACACAGCTCAAAGTGTGCAGTCTTATTGGAAACCACATTGCACAGGAACTGCTTCTTCTCATAATTACATATTTGGCAACAGAGGGTGAGGGGGTGAAGAAAAGCTCTTTTCCCATCTGCAGAAAATCCTGACAGCCTCTTAAAAACAACAGTAATGAGGGAGAGAAAAAGAGGTATTTTGTGAAGGCTTTAGATATTAATTTCACATAAATATGCCAAACACAAAACCTTCCTTGATTTACTTTTATTTGCATGGGAGGAGGCTTTGTACATTTCACTGGAACTCCTGGCAAAATACAAGGATCTCAGGGCATGTAGCTCTCACAGAATGTTTTAAGAAAGAAATTCCTTGTTTTATTTCACAGTGTTCACACCATTCCAACTCTAGACAGAGCCAGAAAATGAAGAAGCTAAAAATGGATCGAAGTTTACTGGACCAATAAAGTGAAGAAAAGGGAAACATTCAGATCAGTCTTCACAGAGCCCAAGTAGCTCACTTCATCCTAAGGAAACTCCTCCTTGCTGTGGAGCCCTGAACATGGGCTCAGGGAAGTTTGGAAAGAAAATAAGTGATAACTGTTGTCAGCTCTGGACAGCAGCAGAAGGAAGGAAGGAAAACTTTTTAAGAACTCTGTCCCAGGAACCAGACATGAAGAGCAAAGCTTTGCCTTCAGCTCAGCCCTTCACCCTACAGTATCACAGCAATTTCAGGGTAAGCTGTTTGCATGATCTAACATTTTACAAAATCTCTATCTTCTTGTCCAGGGGAGAATGTGGTGTGGCGGTCACCAGCACTGGAATAAGAGGAAATTTCCAGTCATAAAAGTAAAAAACTTGAGGCCTTTGAATAGTCTTTGTTTTATAAAGTGTGGCTCCTGTGCTCTGCCTTGCTGCCCTATCTGCTGGCATGTACAATTATAACCCTTCAGCTGGAGATCTATGTTAAAAAAGTCTGCAAGGCAAGATACTGAGTGCATATGTTTATCTGTAAATGTCTCTATTCAGAGACAGAAATTCTATTTGTACCTTTACACATACTGTAAATTTTCTGTAACATCCATAAAGCATTAGAACATGCTTATGTAAAAGAGCACATGAATGTCTTTGATCTCCAGAAGTGTTAATCTCTCTTACTTGTGTTACTTGCTGCTTAATAAACAAAATATTTCTTCTAACACCCCAAATAATTCAGTCAAAAAAAAAAACCTCAGGACACCTTGTCACTGAAGATGATTTTGAGACTTATGGTTGCTGGATGCCATGAAATGTATACCCAGGGACATAATAAGGTAAGACTGTTCCTTAGGTCAATAATTTGAAACAGACACTACTTGAAATAAGCAAAACAGAAGAAGAAAGGTAAGTATTGCTTGTCATGCTCTCAGGCTGCTTCTTGATTGGTATTTCAGGTTAGGAATAAATTGATCACAACTGTAGTAAATCAGCTCAAACATAAGCAGAACATGCTGTGATACTCCATCTTGGACTAATCCTGGAATGGTCTGTGGACTGAGTGAAAGCACAGATGCTTTGCCACCATCACTTATATGTAATCATGGCTTCTTATCTTCAGTTATTATGCAGTTCTACTTCTGTTTGTACTGACTCTTAATCATTTTGCTTTATTTAGCCAAACTACCTATGATTAAAACCAAGTTTTAAATGGAATATCTGCAAACTTTAGTGTGGAGTTTTTCCTTGAGTTTTCTGATACCAAGTTTGAAAAACATCTTTCTTTATGTATAAAGTGAGATTAAAAGCTTCACTTCTTCTAATTTGCATGTTTGGTATTTAGCAGTCTGAAGGAGGTTAATTTGCTCTGGCTTTTAATTTTTCCCAGGCATTTGGAAGCAATCTGCTAGACAGCATGAACTAGTAGCCAGCACAACGTGCAGCTTCAACAGTGTCCTGTTAGTTGGGGAAAAGTCTCTGAACTCACTAAGTTCACCAGCCCTGCCATGGGGGGGGGGCTGAGCATGAAAACAGGACAGCACTTTTCCTAAGGACCAAACCTCATACTCCACCAAAGTCCGACTGAAGGTCTTGGGTGCAGAGGAGCGAGAAAGGGCAGGTGGGTACTCACTGTTGGCTGCCCGAGAAGCAAAAGCTACAGGAAAACTTTAGAAATGCCTTAGAGAAATAACTGAGGAATAGATCAACCTGTTGTGTGACACCACACTCCCGCTTCTGGAGGACACAGTTTGTGTAGCCTCTGCCCCTCGGATGCTGAGGAAGAGCTAAAAACATTCTAAGCGATTGCAGTTGCAGCTCTGGATGGCTAAATTCAGCTGCACTGTATCAGTGTAACTGGAAAAAAAAAGTGTTCCACTTTGGATTTTATCCACATCAGCTACTACCACATAACAAATTATTACTCCTCTGTTTCAGCTTGGTGTAAACAGAGCAGAGCAATATGAAACATCTGAAGAAAAATCAGAAAATAACAGGAGAATAAAAACCATGTCTTAAACTGATTGTACAAACAAGTTTTATTGTTACAAGAAAAGGAAAAAAAAACCCAAACAAACCAAAAAAACACCCCCCACCACCTCACAGCAGGGTTCCCAAATTCAATTGCTGTGTTATTTTAAATTGAATACTGATGAACTTCTGATTCTGGCACTTCAAAACTTCAAAACTTCTTGATTACTTTAGCTCAGCCTGAAGCACTGAACTTTATTGTAACTCAAGGCACAGCACCAAAATGCAAGACCAGCCTGACATCCAGTCAGGGTAATTCTGTGGATTAATCAGGATGCTTGATTCCCAGAAATTTTGGGCACATTGGCTGAGCAACAGATTATGGCTGTGCTGCAAATGAGAAAGACTATATCTTATAGCTTCCCAGACAGCACATGATGTATTCTGCCTCAGGAAATTCAGTGTGCATATTACTCCACAGCTTGGATTCCAGTTGCCCACAGAAGTGACCTCCATATTCTGGAATTACTTGAGAAGTTTGTTGCCCTCAGAAAGTGTCTTGTTTTACTATCATGGTGAAATTCAAGCATATGAGCATATTACTCTCAGAATCATCAGAGAATCCTTGCACAACAATAGTATAATTGCCCTAAAACAAGCAAGACAAAAAAAAAAAAAAAAAGAAAATTAGTCCACAGTACTGCCTGCTCTTGTCTAAATGGCTTCTTGGAATGGTTCTGGTGATTTCTGTTAGAACTGAAAAAGACAGATTCCCATCAGGGACTGTTCTCATAGGTATAGTCAGGTATATGAGCGCCTGAAAATAAAAGTGTTCAACTTCCTTCTCATGGCCAGACTACTGAGGAGCAGCATTTCCTGGTCTAGCACAGTCCCATCAGGAAGTGCCAGCTCTACCACAAGTTCCTCATCGACAGGAGGACAGCTCATGTTCCTGTCCAGTACTAGCTCTGGGGCTACAAGAGCTGTTGGACTCTTGGAGGCCCATGAGCTGAGGGGGATGGTGGAGATTTTGGACCAGTAGGAGCTCCTTAGTGACATTTTTAGGGATTAATAGGATTGATAAGGGTCTTGGAAAAGCTCAGACAACTGATGAGAATGGCTTAACCTGAGGACTGGTGCTGCCCCTGGTTTAACAGCAGAGCACTGCTTTTACTTTTTGGATATTGTTGTCCCTTTTCAAATATTTGAAAATGGTTTCATGGAGTAAAAGAGCACCATGTGAAGAGAATGTAAAATAAAGAATGACATGGGAAGAAGGAATATGAATGGATTTACTCAAACAGGTAAAAGGAAAGAGAATAATTTACCAAACAAAATGGAATAATTAAGGTGACATTAACTGATTACTTTGATCTTTTCTTTTATAAAATAAAGGAATAATAACCTTAGAACATCTATCATTTCAGAGATGCTACCATTTTATTGTTATCAATTCTACTATAAGAAAATTTTCTGACATTTCCTCTTCTCTTTTTTACAATTTGGGTGAACATCTCTCTTCAGAAAAAAATATACCTGTAAGTATGTGATTTTACTATTATACAAAATGTTGAAAAGTACCTTTGGAAATGCTGTTCTTGAGCCTTTAATATCAAATGCTGATGCAAGTGTTTCTGAAAAACAGAGATAATTATAATACAAAGAGTTACTTAAACATAAAGCCATCAATCAGACTGCCTAAATAACTTCAAAGCAATATGGCATATCTCTCAGCAGCAGTTGCCAATGTAATTTACCCTTTCACTGATAAAGCCCTCATCTGGTTCTTCTCTCAGAGCTCTGACTTTTTGTGGAAACCACATTAGAAAATAGAAATTAACCACAGTGCTCCTGCAACATCTCCTCCAGACAAATCCTACTGTGATAACTCCAGTAATTTAACTTGTAATAGCAGTTCACTTGAATGGTAACTGAAGAGAGCTGATACTGATTTTTGAAGAAAGGAAAACAGACTATTTTACCCTCCTTACAGGTCTTTTTGGCCTTTAGTCTGGCATCCTACCTGAATTCTCTGAATCTGAGCCTGTATTGTGTTAATACTTGTTAGCCCCTACCAAAGGATTAACTCTTCTCTATTGGGTTTAAAAACCCATCCAGACATATATCGAAATAAACTTTGTTCTGGATATTAGTAGAGCCCACAGTGCCTCTCAAGTTTCCTGTTCAGTCCAGTCAAATGCAATCTTTCCTTGTCATTTTAGAGATGTTCACAACAAGTGTCATCATCAGATGAAGGATATTAATAATTCTCATTTATGGAGACAGAAACTGCAGTACAAGGATGTTAAAATAAAGAATTTGAATATTTTCTACTTCAGTGGGGTTCTGGCACTGGAGAATTGCCTGCTCCTGCCTGAGGTTTGCTGCCTGCCAAGCAAAGTCTAGATTGTGGAGATAAAAATCTGTTTGCATGGGTTGATTGCACCATGTATTTTCACACCAACCTCCTTTCAGCGTTCCGCACACTGAGTATTCATCATCAGCTCCGCTGCAGAGGAGTTCTTTCCAGAGGAGTGCTTTAGCACCATCATACCAGACATTGAAGACAATCTTCAAAAAGTGGATGTCACTTCCTAATTAAAACATTGCAACTAAGAAAATGGTAACTGGTGGGGAGGAAAAGCGTATATGGAGACATGCTGTTTAGATAAAAACTAGATTTTGCCAAAACACTGTATTTTTGTAAGACTCCCCCAAAATTAAAAAGGTATATATCTTGAAAACTGCTGCTTCCAGAAAAAAAAAGAAAAAAAAAGAAAAAAAAAGGAAAAAAAATAAAAAAAAAAGAAAAAAAGTTATTGGTGTTTTTAACAACAACAAAAAATTAGTCTTAAAAATATTTGGGAAAAAAATTTCAAAGTCTGTTTTAATTTCTTTAGTAAAGGAAACAGAGTTCATTCAGCTCCACAGCTAACTTAAACACGTGCTCAAATGAAGACCTTAGTTTTAAGCAGATATTGCAAAGAAACTGTCATGAATGCATCATAAAGATGTCTTTCTAGGGAAGCAAACCTAGTGCAGAAGGGGAAGTTTATGATACAGCCAGGTCCTAAACATTTCATTAGCTGAGGCTGCTGGCTTAAAGCTGGGTTTAAAGATCACAGTTAGGTTTGCACACAAGATCCAGTACCATCTCCAGCTTCTGGAACATGCATATTCTTCACAGAAGTCCTGCCATAGCTGGATGGCCTGATGATACTCTCTCTCCTTTAAAAGACTTGGATCTTGTCCAGGCCAGAAGACCAAAATGCACATACACCTAAAGTGTCACAGATTTGCATTTACAGTGACAGTCTGCGTGCAGGGCTCTGGTAACTGCTCCAAGTAAAACTCAAACACATTTTCACAAATCATCATTTCTCTCCATCGCTATAGTTTATCCATTCCATTTTTAACCCCAGAAACCAATTTCCTAAATAACACAGCATTTAGGATGAAGTGTCAGTTTTTCACTTGTATTTCATTTCCAGCATTCCCAAAATATAATTGTCTAGTTAAGACAGACTCACTTGGAATCCAGGTAAGATCAGCCTTCCAGACAGATTTGTTCATCGTGCTGCAAGGTGTCAGATTAAACATGAAAGCATGAGCTGTAGAATCTACAGAAAAAAATCATTTCACATTGATAGTGTGAATAGGCTTCTCCATAAAAATAATAAGAATATACAGTTATACATACAAAAATACAATTTTAAAATGCATTTGATACATATTTTGTATCATTGAATGTACATTTATTATGTATCAAATACATATTTTAAATGTATTTAAGTTATATTCTATAAAATTGCTCAATATATGTGGTAAATATTAAATATGTTTTTAATTATATTATTATTTTTACATTTAGAAGGCAAAACCAGTATCATATTTCTTTAAGCAAAGAGAAGTAAATTTTTGGTTGATGATATTTTGCACACAAAAAACAGAGACAAAAGTACCTTTATTTCTCTTTTGAAGATATACAAACTTTTTATTCGCACTAAACCAGCATGGTCTTCTACTGAAAACATCCCTACTTATGATAATCATGCTGAAAAGAACTAAAAATATTTTTAATGCACCAGCATATTTTTCAGGTAATGTAAATGAACCTTTGAGTAGATGTTCTCTGTGACTGACCCACCTTGCATTTTTAAAATACACAAAATATCAGCCCATGACACAGACAGGGCAAGAGGGGACACACCATGCTGTCTCAGAACCTGATTGGTACCACAGCCTGACAGAATATGACATTCCCTCTTTTTTTCCACATACTTCAAGCTTTTGATTGTAACACACTGGTTAACTCAATAGGTATAATTTATACAACAGAGTACTTGTGAAACTAGTTTAAACCCATTATCTTCTTACATTTCCTGAACAAAAACATGCCTATTTTACTTGAGAATAAAATTCTCTCTCTCCTAGCTGCTGGAACCAGCATTGCGGTAGGATTTATGCCTATGAAGTAAACTTCTTATAATAGGGTGATTAAGAACAGAAATATACTTCTTTATCTTTTTCTGTATTCTTCAAAGAAACTGATTTGAAAGAGAATTCACAATCCCTCAGACTACAGTAATTATCCTGCAAATTTAACAAAAGGATTACCTATTTTTTTACTTACCACAGAAAGTATATGACATTTCAAGATCTGATGATGTACAAATGAATTCACTGACTCCAGGGGTGAATAAAATGAAAAAAAGGAGTTCAAACATAGTTACTTTCTCTTTTTTTCAGTATTCGATAGTATAAAACTTCATTTGGGAGAAAGAGGAAGAAAATTCAGCACAGTCATCATCAGTCACATGTCTCCGGGGAAAGTTCTGCTATTTATTGAATTCTCTGCAATCTTTGTTAATCCTACTGTAGCACTGTCAATTATCATCACACTAAATTTTGTTTAAAAAAAAGAATTCCTACTTTTGTTGTTACATTTTCCCCAGACAATGCAGCTGAAACCAAGAGTGAAAAATTAAAGAGAAAACTGTGTGAAATGGGGAAGTGAAATGACACTATGATTACCAGAAGTACGTAATGAGCAAGTTTAGTTGACTCATCAGGGGTAAGATTTCTAAAGGCATAATTTCAAACACAGAGTTTCCTGCACATATTAAAGAAAAGAAAAATCCAGAACTGATGAAAACCAAGTCCATTCTTTTATTTTTATGGTAGTCAGTACCTCTCATGGTTTTCATGTGAGCTCCTTACAAAGCTCACTGTGCTTTAAGAATACACCAGTCATCTGAAGGAATGCAATTAGATGATGTATTTCAAATGGAGCTGAATGCAATCATCTGATGCTACGATGTGCACAAAAACCATGAGTGATTGTGCCCAGAGATTGGGGTAATTCCTAGATTAATTAAGGAAAGGGAAATTTGAATTAAAGGTGCCTGTAAGTACCAAATAATTAACTACTACATGAAATAATTTACAAAATAAGATAAAAATTTGAAAATTTAATGCAGCTAGAGAATTCTCTTTAGTATTTCCAGATCTTTCCATAGACCACAAGAAGAGTCCCACTGGCCTGACAGAGTTCAAAATTTTAAGAAATTTGGCTTTTAAGTGGGAATTCAAAATTATATTTTGAATATTATATATATATACATACTTTCCTGACAGATCCCCACAGTACATACACACATAGATTTTTGTTGTTGTTTAACAGGATGCTATAAAACATATAAGTTCCTTGTAATCATAGGAATAACACAGTTCTGTTTCAAGATGGACAAATTTTGCTTAAAAATAGTAAGACATGCAGTGAAATTGAAATAAATCAGGAAGTCTGTAATAGTTGGAAAAAAGAAATGCAGTAGTGAGACAGTCACAAAGGAGCAATGAAACAGCTATGAAAGAAGAGCTACCTTTTGCACAGATACAGCCAAAAAAAATTTCCTTTCAGCCACAAAGCCATGACCAGTGGTGTGAAGGAGTTTAATCTGTGAGAAGCCAAGCCAGGCTCTCTGCTGAGTCTTCTGTCAGTCCAGCAGGTTTAGCACAAGTCCCAGGTCATTCTGAAGTGGGCAGGGGGTGGCAATGACCATACCCCAGTGATGCACAAGATTTCCCAGCTGAACATGGGTCCCTCTGTGGCAGACTTGGTCTGGCATTGCTGCTCAATGCGTTGGGCGGCTGATGCACTCATGGGCAGAGTGGAAAGAACACTGCAGATTAACAAGACTTTACATAAAGCTTTCTTAATATGAAAGAAGACAAACTCTCTGCTGAATTGACTTTCTAAACCTGGTTCAAGCATCGGTGTTTTTTTCAGATACTTGCTGCAGAAAAATTATAGATGAGGAATGAGTCCCCCCTGGTGGTTCAGACAGACACATGCAGAAACCTCCTGCTCCTTCCTTATTGCACTTTTATTGCACAAGACTATTCCAATGCTTTAAAAAGTCAGTATAAGAAAGCTCAATTTAAAAGTATCTAGCTGGCTAAATGGGAAAACAGGAGCAATAAGTACTACTGGTGTCATAGCTAAAATATCCTTTATGACCATGAAGCCTACAACCTTGACCTCTGTGTTTGGTCAAACTGTCATTAAATTAAAATAACCTAAATTATTTTTAAATAATTTCAGCAAATTCTGTTTTAGATGCTTGTGGCGTTTCATGCCAACATCAATGCTGTTCATAGAAGTGACGTCTTGTGATGATCACTGAAAGCCCAAAGCAGTGCACTAGCGGTGTGAAGAATCTGTTCTGTTCCTTTCAAGTCAGTATGAGGATCACTGCAGAAGATTATAAAGTTCTATACACTTTAATTTTACAAAACCTTTTTTCTTTACTATAATCCTTTTCTTATGTATTCCAATCCAAAAGGAAGGCAAAAAGGAAGGAGAAGTGGAAAGAGCTACACAATAATGTTACTTCACTGAGGTTTTGTCAGTGAAATACTTCATTTATTTTGAAATCCTTTGCAAGTAAATTCAGTAGGAACCAGCTCTCATATCCAATTAATAGTACATAAATTCAAGTCTAAAGAATTTAGAACTTCATATCTATGACATTTAATTTTGCTACATCTGAGATGTTGAGAATAGAAGTTTATTCCAAGCTTCCTCACTGATTTGTGGTTAAAATCCTTAAAATAATCATAATTCATATCAATTGATATTTTTATCTTCTTTCTCAAGGCACCCAAAAAGTGCTTAATTTACTTTTGATTGCTTTTCAAAATAATCACTTTGTATTTGGATTGTTGGCTGCAGATGAGTACATTGATCAGGTAAGCACTTATAAGTCATTACAATCTCCCTCAGGAAAGACTTATAATATGCATGGTCATAATATTTCATCACAGAAAAATAAATAACAGTACACCAGTATAACAGGGGAAAGTACTCAATTTCAAAGTGTTAGACAGAATTAAAGATTATATTCCAGATTTTGGCACATAACAAAATTTCACTTTAATGGAAAACTCTTTTAAGAGATCAACCACATTTATTAAATAACGAAAGAGGCAATAATAATTTTCCTTGCAGGACCATTTATGAGTTTTTGAAGTAGATAGTTCCAGACACTTGGAAGCAGACATTTATTCCTTCTGATTCTGGGTTTAGGGTTGATGCTGAAGGCACTATAACGTAAAGGGGCCCTATATAAGGCATAAGACTGCATTCACAAAATAAAAATACACTCGATTATCAGCATGAAGAATAGAAAACTGTGGACTCTTCTCAAAACCCCTCACTGACAATCAAATCCCCTATTTTTGACAATGTTTATAGTGGAAGCAGAAAGTCATGCCCAGGGATACAATAATGAGGTAGAGGATTCATTTCCTCTACAGGCAACTGATTAAATGCTTGAGAGTGCCATGGGAGTCCAGACCAAAAGCAGGGCACTGGCACATATCCAGTGGTGCATTGGTAGCATTTGAGTAAGAAACCAAAGAGTTTTTGAAATATACAAAAAGTGCTGTGCATTACGCTGTACATGTTTTGTTAAATGCTGTATGAACTTTGGCTTAGTGGTTTGATTTGAATATATCCCATTAAACCACTGGAGACTATTAAAATGTAGCAAACACATACCAGGTGGTATGGTTTTCCTGTGCAAACTATTATGTTGGAAATAACTCCCTGCCTCTTGCCAGTAGCCTTATGGTTTATTCTCTGCAAGCCAAGTTTAGGACTAAAACTTACAGTTGTATACCCTGAAGTATTCATTAAGCTATTAAAATTGCCAAAAAGAAGAGAAAGAAGAGGATGAAGGCATAAGAAAAGGGGATGTCCTACCTGAGGCTCACAGTATGCACACCACAGCAACACTTTCCATGCTGGAATTCTAGAAAGGGAGACAGCTGGACATATTTTGCGGCTGTTTGCTCTTGTTCTCTGCTATTCCCTGCTTAAAATAGCTGCTTGCTGAGGTCTGTGTAGCTCTGGGATAATCTTATTATAGTGGATCCAACTCACAGCTAAGCACACTTGTCCCATTTCTCATGCAGGCTGCAGCAGGCTATGCTGTACGCTGGGGAATGAAGAAATCCGTGGTATGAGACATGAAGAAATCTGTGGTATGGCCACAGAACTCCAGAGCAACAAAATTACAGCAGTTTACCAAGTTTCCACCCTATTAAGTTACGTTGGACAGTTGTAATAATTCACGTCTGCTCTTAATTTTTACAGCACAAAAAGACTTTCATGAAGTTTCCATCACCTAAATCAAGCCTTCCTGATTCCATGAAAAAAATTACAGATTTTCTTCATCTTTGCCAATATGATGACTTTGGTATGTAATAAAGCAAGGTCCAGTCAAATTAATTAACTATTAATTCTACAGAGTGTGGTTAAGAGCATGAAGTACCTCACAGCTTAAAAGATTTCTCTTTGAAGTACCAAAAAGGGATAATTTTCTCATCAAAAATTCTTATATTTGCATGAAAAAAATGAGGGTTGTGGGATAATTTAATTTTAAAAATAACTTCAAGAAATGACAAGCAACTCTGTACTTTATAATTAAGAACAAATATGGACTAATGAATAATAATGTGGCCAAAACCAAAAACTTGAGAAAGTTTTTTTTCACTAGCAAGAAAATAGCATGTAGTAAAAGTCTGAAAAGAAAAATTTGCATATATCCTGACTGTTATTCAAAGGGAAAAGATTAAAAAAAAAAAACCCAGTCATCTATTACCTTTTCTGGAAGCATTTAAGGCTGGAAAGGGATAGGAAGAATATGTCTAGGAAGGAGGCTTCAGTAAATTCCTACAGAATAACAGAATTAGCTACGTTGGAAAAGACCTGTGAAATCAGAGTCCAACATATAAAAGGTGTTTCCTTGAACACCTCCTTTTGGGAAAGGAAAAGAACGCTTGCAATTTCAATGGGGATCAGTTGGGCAAGTTTTGGTCCATGTCCCTGCACTTGATGGCATCCCATGCCTTTTGATGGCTTTCACTTTGGCAAATTTTTTTTATTTTTTTTTAGTATCCATGCCATGGCTCTCATATCTTCCCCTCAAAGTTCTGTCTTCCTCCTTGATTTTTTCCCCTGCTTTGGCAGCATCTGTGATGTTAGTTTGGCGTGTTTTGGTCCTTTGCACCGCACCTTGTATAATCCCAGTCCATTTGCTTGTAGTCACTAAATGTTGCAATTTTCTGGTTTGTTGTTTTTTCTTCAATTTCATTTCATTTCATGGTATGTCCTTTCCAGAGTGTTTGTAAGTCGTTCTTTTCTGTTTTGTAAGATTTTGTGGAATTGGAATTTCCTTTTGTGAAGGGAAACTACATCTTGTGAAACAGAAAAGAATGACCTACAAACACTCTGGAAAGGAGATACGGTGAAATGAAATGCAATTGAAGAAAAAATAGAAAATTGGGAAATTTAGTGACTACAAGTTACCTACACCCAAAGAAATATCAACAACTTCCAGGGATGAAAATGTTAGCAGGCAGTAATACTTCTGCACTTAGTACTTGTTTTCACCAAGTGTATGAAATGGAAGAAAAATACAGTAGAAGAAAATAGTAATTTACATAATTAATAGGGTTTTTAAACAGACATGGAGCTAACAGACTTTGGGAATTACCTGGTAGTAATTTGTTTTTTGAAACACTCACACCACAGTCGATTCTCTTGCATGATTTGTTAGTAGCAAGAGGGCCTGTTCTGATTTATGCACATTTTCTACCGTAGAAAGACACCAAGCATTTCAGAGCTTCCCACCTGGAAACGCACACAATGCACTAAAAAATATCTTAAGACAGATTGCTCAGAACCCAGAACAAAGAAGAAACACATCTTGGAAGTCTTTTTGGATTACAATTCAATTCCTTTATTTTGATTCTAATGTGAATAATTGCTCTCAACAATTCCAGGGATCTAAACCAGTCACATATGTGGAAGTATACTCAAGTTCTGTGTTGATTTTTGGGCCCCTCACAACACACAGGACTTTGGGGTGTTGAGTGTGTCCAGAGAAGGGCAGTGAAGCTGGTGAAGGGTCTGGAGCACAAGTCTTATGAGGAACAAACAGCTGGGGGAACTGGGGTTGTTCAGTCTGGAGAAAAGGAGGTTCAGGAGTGATCTTATCAGTCTCTACAACCTGAAAGCAGGGTGTACCAAGGTGGGGATCTGCCTCTTCTCCCAAGTAACAAGCAATAAGACAAGAGGAGAAACAGCCTCAAGTTGCACCAGGGGATGTTCAGCCTGGATATTAGGAAAGATTTCTTCACTGAAAGGGCTGTTAACCACTGGCATGGCTCCCTGGGGAAGTGGTTGAGTCACCATGCCAGAAGGCATCTAAAAGATACATAAATGTGGTACTTAAGGACATGGTTTAGTGGTGGACTTGGCAGTGCTGGCTTAATGGTTAGAATTAATGATCTTGGAGGTCCTTTCCAACCTAAATGGTCCTACAATTCCAAGTACACAATCTAAGTGTAGCAGCAAACAAAGCAAAAGCACGTAAAATGTTGAGTATCTTCAGTAAGTCTGGTCTTCTTTTTCCTGATATAAAAGTATACTATCCTATTATTTTCAAGTTGCACGTTGGAAGTATTAAGTATTTTTTCTGAGACTACATCCCAGCCAGAATCATCATCTATCTTCTGGCAGAATTCTGGATTCTTTAATATTATTTTTAATCATCTGTGTGTCAGAAAGCCACCTACTAGCTTCACTTGCTTTTCACTATCAGAACATGAGCAGAATAATATTTCTCTTCCATAGACAGAAATTTAGCCACTGGTATGGAGATATCTTACTCTTGCTGCTTAATTCTGAATTGGCCAAATCTCAAATTTAGAGAGGAAAACTTTTTGCAGTCAGAAGGAAAAAATGAGGATTTTAATATTGCCTATGGAGTACATAAATATAATTTTGGGGCCTTTCCCTTCTCCAGCAAACTCTATTTCCTGCTCTCCCTGGATTTGTCATTGGAAGATCAAGTCAACCTCATCTTTCAATGCAAGCACCAAAAGTGAGTGAATGCATCAAAGATTACTTTTAAGTAAGTGTAAAACATTGTTTCAATGAGGACAAGTAGTACAACCAGGTGACCAGAATTGCTTGTTCAATATAACTTGAACCCCACATGTTCAATATAATTTTATGACAACTTTATTTATATATTATTGCTACCCATGGAATGATACTGGCTTAACAAGACCTTATCACCCTTTTAAAATTATAGTTGTGCTAATACAAAAAAACTGCCTCAAAAATATTGGGATGGGACGATTTGCTTTTTAATTACTAAGCGAGTACATTGAGGGCAGTCAGAAAAGCAACATTCAAAACCCTTGTTTAATATCATGTGTGGTGCCATCCTACAAAAGGAAATTGAAATAATAGTATTGGAAGACATTTAGACTTTTAAATACAGTTCTTCAGCCACAACTTAGGAAACAGCTTGAAAGTTAGCTTGAAAGTTATAATTTTTTATTTGCAGGATCAGGATGACTAGCAGCAAGTATCAGATTTTCTTATTACAAAGGGCACTGTTAACACAAAAGAATTAATTTTGGGGTTTTTTTCAATTCAGTTAACTTTTATGTCTCAAAATATTTAGGCCCTTCATTCTTTGAAAATAAGTATCTGCCAGTTTATGTGCCTTCAGCTAAAAAATTTAAATCCAACTTCTACACACTCAAGGGAGAAGAACCAGTCTAGTACCACAAAAAGACCAGATTCCCCTTTTCAAGTTGAGCAAAAGGTGGCTTTCTTCACAGTGCTGAAAATCAAGAGGTGTGTTCTTTAAAGGCACAACTGCTTCCCCACCTTACACAAATACTGACAGAATCCATTTTAACCACTAACTGCTAGAATTTTCTTTGTTGATTCAAATACAGCACCTCTTGTCAGTGGGATGGTCACAGAGCAAATCTTATATCACAGTGCTTTCCTGTGCCAAGAAGAGAAGCTTCTTGCTCTCCACCTTTGGGGACAGGGTTGCTCGGAGTGGGACTTTAGTTTACCTGAGACTACCTTTGAGTAGCTAGAACTTACTGCTCTATATATACACAGCAATTCTCCACATGTTCTTCTCTCCTCTGGGAGGGAGTTGTAGCAGGAATTCACAAGAATACCTGTCTGCTTTCCAGAGACTGCTCCTGGCTACCGATGGTCTCACAAAGGGAAGGGAAAGCCACGATCACTCCCTTTATACCATCACCAGCAGCAACAAAAAGCCTGGTATTTTTAGATTAAGTACAATTAATATTTAAGGCTTAACATCTTAACTACATACTTGATAGGAAATGAGTGTCTTTTGACACAGAGGTGGTGAGACTGCCAGACAGCTCATGCATTTTATAGTTCTCTGGAGAGCTAACACCAACAATCAAACCAAGAATAAAAAAGAAAAAGACAGGACTAAGCATCTCCTTTTTTTTACTATATTTTATGTCATTAACTATAAAGAAATCCTCACATTGTTTGCAATATTTTTTTAAAGTGTCTCTTTTTATACATTCCAAAATGCATATGGAAAACTCCAGCTACCTGATACTTAAGCAAATGTAATAGATTTTTACATTCTTTCACATATATAGTACTGCATTATGGACAATGACACTGACATTATCTTCAAATTATTTCCTTTCATCAGCTTCCTTTACTGCCTCTAAATCCTCAAATTTAAAAAATGAGGATTTGTCATAGCCCATGAGATGGTTATAATCCTGAGGATTTGGGAAGAGTGTAGGATTAACAAGCATTGACTTTGTTTTAGCGTAAAATGTTGTAAACATCTTGGAGATGTCTGGAATCTTTACATCTTTCTGATGGAAAACAGTTGCTTTTTCTGTCAAGATGGCATTGTAGGTAATGGCTGTATAGGTGTCCACTTCATCTTTATAATAGAGCCGGATCACGTAACCTTTTGTAAGGAGATGCAAAGTAACCGGAGTTACAAACGTAAAAATCCCGATCAACCCGTAAAAGGCAGCTTGGACAAGCAAACTTTCCACTCCAATACCACTTTTGAGCATGATGTAGGGCATCATGAACAGGTTGAATATGCTGGTGGAGTAAGAGAAAAACTTCACACCTACATAAAAGAAATCAAAGAAAATAAAGGTTAACACTTATGACCAAAATTTTCTCTACAATTACCTATATTTTTCTACCACATAACAATGCCATTACTTGAACTGATGAAGTTACTGAAAACCCCTTTCCCTATTTTTTTAAGTTTATGGAGAAACCATTGAAAGCTCAATCTGCCACGCTGCCATTGTTCTGATTTGTTTGCACCTTCATGCTGGGTTTATCAAAGCTGGCTCTATTTCTGTGATGCAGTCAGCTATTAGCTGTCATGCACACACATGAAATTTTTTTCTGCCTTCACAGGCAGAAGAACTGATTTCTAACGAGACTTGACTCCATTCATGGACACGTGTAATGGTGCTCATTGAAGAGATGGCAGACACAGAATTTCTGTCCTCATCAACAACTAATGTTGACATTCAGTGTACATTACAAAGAAGCCAGCTTGGCTGCCATGCACAAACCCTGGGTTAATAAATATTAACAAGTACTCCCCACCCATTTTCCATGTGGCTTGAAAGACAGCAGCCAGTGCTGTGGACTACCCATAGTTCAATAAGTATGTTAGGACACATTTCGAAGATGTGTATCAGAAAACATCCAATGGCTTTGCCTTTCACTAGGTCTTTGTAATATTCACTGCCCAAAGAAAGAATTGCAAAGTCACATTAGAGATGGAGCTCTTCATCATAATACCTGCCTGCCTGGGAAGCATTTCAGGAGCACTTCAAGCACACAGAATGTAAACAGCAGTTATAGCTCATCTTTGCTGCTTACTGGGTTGGATAAGGCACCCCAAGGGCCTCAAGAGAAGCCAAAGAAGGCTAAGGGGTGACACAGATGAACAGAGCTTCCTGCACATCCAAGCAGAGAAGCAGAAACCAAGCACTACCACTACCACTGTTTTTTGTACATACGATCCAGATTTGGGCAAACTTGGAAAGGAGAACATTCACTTTTAATGTTTCATTTTAAAGTTACTAAATACTGTTAAAAGTACAACAACAAAAAAAAAGGCAGTATAAACCACTTTGAGTCACATACCCAACACTGTCTTTGCCAAATTTCCTTTATAAACTAATCTTCCGTGTTCTGGGTGATCATGAGGGGAGGATGTGCTGAGGCTGCGAACAGCCACTCCTTGAAAAGATGCAACCTGAAAGATGAAATCAGTACAAGGCTAAGGAACATCAGTATTACACCTTATATCTACCTGTCCATGCACATACACACATATATGTACATGTATACACTCAGACAAAGTTTCTCCTTGCCCTGAACCTACTCCCAGCATTTCAAACTAAGGATTAAAGTTTGGTTACACTTCAAAGCATGTCAAAAGCTCCAACTAATATGCTGTCTGACTGTTTTACCATGTAAATATCCCAAATTAGCAAGAAATATTTGCAACTCCATTACTGATAATTGAGGTAGCAATCGATTTACACAGCTTTGCAGAGAGACATTCTGTTCTCATCACATCTCTGTCTGATCATAAAATAACAGAATGGCCTGGGTTGAACTGGGCCTTAAAGATCATCCAGTTCCAACAGGCCTGTTGTGGGTAGGGACACCTTCCACTACACCAGTTTGCATCAAGGCTTTCCATCCAGGCTGGCCTTAAGCACCTTGAGGGTTGTGGCATCCACAGCTTCTCTAGACAACCTATTCCAGTGCCTCACCACTCCCACAAAAAAGGATTTTTTTTCCCTAATATCTTAGATTAGCTAAATAGCTTCCTTTAGATTAGCTAAACATACTCTCAGTTTTAATCCATTTCCCATTGTCCTGGCACTTCATGCCCTTGTAAAAAGACCCTTTTCCCTACAGGACTTTCTTGGAGGCTCCCTTCAGGTACTGGAAGGCCACAATTAGATCATCCCGAAGCCATATCTTCTCCAGGCAGAACAAATTCAATTGTCCCCACCATTCACCGTAGGAGAGGTGCTACATGCCTCCAGTCATTTTGGTGGCCTCCTCTGGCTCGCTCCAGCAGGTCGATGGAGCCCCGGAGCTGGACAAAGCACTCCGGTGAGGTCTCACCTGAGCGCATCAGAGGAGGTACGCCCCGAGGAGCACCTCATTTTACTCCTCAAAATCCCCTAAAGGCAAATCCGCTAATCCCAGGGCCGCCGCCCTTTCCCCGGGGGGCGGGAACGCTCCCCCCGCTCCCACAGCCCCCGCACAGTCCCCACACAGAACCTGTCGGGGCCTCGCAGCGGCCACAGCGGCGCGGTGGCGGCAGGCGGGCTGCGCGGCGCCCCGCAGCCATGCGGAGGCGGAGGCGCGGCGGCAGGCGGCGGGGGCGCGGAGCAGCAGCAGCGGGAGCATGGCGGGGCCGCGGCCGCACCGGGGACACGGCGGGCGGTGCCACACCGACAGCCCCCGGCGCGCCGCCGCCACGCCGCGCTTTGGTTCCGCCCGTAGGAAGGCTCCGGCCGGCTCCGCGGCGCCCCCGTCGGCATCTCCCGCACGCCGCTCAGCCGCAGAATGCCGGAATCAGTCGGGCTGGAAAACACCTCTGAGGGCATCGGGTCCAACCTGTGGCCAACACCACCGCGTCAATGTGACCATGGCATTAACCGCCACATCAAACCATCCCTTAAACTCCCCGCAGAGATGGTGACTCCACCACCTCTCTGGGCAGTCTATTCCAATGTCGAACATTCTTTCTGTGAAGAAATTCCTCCTGATGTCCAACCTGAACCTCCCCTGACACAGCTTGAGGCCATTGCTTCGTGTCCTCTCGCCAGCTGCCTGGGAGAAGAGCCTGACTCCACCTATGAATCTCCTTCCAGACAGTTGCAGAGAGCCATAAGGCTTTCACTGAGCCTTCTCTTCTCCAGGCTGAATTACCCCAGCTCCCTCAGGTGCTCCTCATAAAGCTCGTGCGGCAGAACCTTTACCCTCCTCTGGACAGCGTCCAGCACCTCGATGTTGTGCACTAATTGAGAGGCCCAGAACTGAACACAGGACTCGAGGTGCGCTGAGCCCATCACCGCCCTGTTCCTGCTGGACACACTATTCTCCATACAAGCCAAGATGCCACTGGCCTTCCTGGCCAGCCGGGCGCGCATTCGCTCATGTTCAGCCGCTGTCGGCCCCAAAACCCTGACATGGCGGGCCTGCATGCCCCCGGGAACTACGCGCCCCAGCATGCACCGCTCCGCGCGCAGCATGCCGGGAGCACGGGCGCAGCACGGGCTGGGCGCGGGGGGGCCGGAAGCGGCCCGTGACCCGGGCGGAAGCGCTCGGAGGCAGCTGGGCCGACACCGCGGCCCTGCGAGCGGGGCGGAGGGAGCGGCGCCCACGGGTGAGGGGCGGCCGCGGGAGCGAGACCCCGTCGGGGCCGCGAGGGACACCCCGGGCGCGGGGCGACCCGTCGGGCGGGGAGCGGGTAGCCCCGGCAGGCGGCCCCGCGGCGGGCAGCGGGCCTCGCCCCGCGCCTGGCGGGGGGGGCAGAACGGGGGCCGGGCGGAGGGGCCGGAGCGGCACCGGGGGTCGTCGGGGTGCGCAGGGCGCGGTGCCAGGCCGGGGCGCTCCCACTGAGGTGGTAGCGAAAGGCGCGTTCCTCCGCCAAAAGGCTCTCTTTGGAATCCCGGCGCCGCCGGAAAAGGGGCTCTCTGGAGCAGTGCTGGCTTTGAGCATTGCTCCCCAACTCCTGCCCTAAGTGACGTTCGCCCTTTTCCTACGCCAGGCCGTAGAGAGAAGGGAAAAGTTCAGGCCGAAAGAATTTAGGATGCGCCCCCAGGGGTTGTTTTGCCAAGGTGAGAAGTGCTGGGTAGAGTGATTCGGCTGTAAGGGTCGGCGAATGTAAGCAAAGAAAAGGGTGATACCCCTACCTGTAGCGACAGAAATGAGCTTTTGACTGCTGTGTGTTCCGCAGAGGAAAGTTCTGCTTTAATACAAGGTAACCTGAGCATTGGTAAGTTATTGAGAGCTTCACATTTGTGTGTGAAACGGTGATGGTGCTGCTGGCAGTTTGCTTTGACAGCCGATTTGGTCTTCCACCAGTTAACTTTTATTAAATATTTCTAAATGTGTTTGGTAAGTTAAGCTTTGCGTTCTGAGGAGACCTAGATAGTCACAGGCCGTTTGTTTACTTGGCTTCGATGGTTTTTGGAAGCAAACCAGAAAAACGTAGATAAACAGGCACACGAGAGATCTTTAGGATAAGAACCACTTTGTGCACTTATTTCTGAGTAATGCCCAACATGCTTCCAATTTTCTCCTTTTGCTATAATAAGGACCAAAATAATTGTTGGGGGAGAGATCATGTTCAATGAACTGAAGAGTTACTTTGAACGGGAATAAGTGTTTATTATGCCTGTAGTACATTGGCCACATCTTTGCACAGGTGGCACCTGCCTTATGCCTTGAGATCAGCCTTTTAATGAGCTTAAGTTATATCAGTAAAATGTTTACGTCAGTAAAATTTTTGCTGACGTTTTCACTGCGAGCTTTGAGATAATTTTTAGAAACTTTTGGCACTACAGCATTTATTTTTTCCTTGATGTGTCAGAGAAAAGCCATTTGAGTTTGGGTTTTTTTTTCTGTACCAGAGTGCGTGATGAACAGATTTAGATAGTTTCACATAGTCTTAACGTGAAGAATTTTAGTATTCGATGGATTTTGATAAGTCTCTCAGCACCTAGAAAGGCTCAGGATTTAGTTAGCTTTATTGTGGGGTAGTTTGCATAACAGCAGTTTTTGGTGAATGCCTATAACAAGAGGGCAGAAATCCATGCCCTGTAGAATTTTGCCTCTTTTCCTCCAGTGGCAAGAGCTGTACAGTACAGCTTGGAAGTTTCTTTGGAAGAAAATAGTGACTCTCTCCTGCCCATGTTTTTGAGGTTTCTTTCCTTGAAGCTTTCTGGGGAATTACTGAAAAGGAATGTTTCTTTAGACAGGAAAAGAAATCTTAACTAAGATGTTTTGTAATCCGTACGTGCTATCCTACCCCATCTCCTGTTTATCTCAACTAGCATTCAGGTGCAGTATGCCTTCCTGTCACATTCCTGTGTGTCCCAGGAAATTTGAATTTTAGAGCCTGAGAGTATTGGAGTAGTGAATCAGCTGATTTGGAAATCATGCTCTGCCAGTTTCTCCTCATGTTTTTTCTAAATATGCTTCAATCTCTTAATTATTTTTACCTTAATTATTTTTTCATGTGTGCTGAGCAGTGACTGCTAAACTGAAGAGCGGTGTTTTTAAACAAGTTATTGTATGGAATAGGGCAGAATTTAGGATTGAACAGTAGGAGGCTGCAGTTGTAACATGCAGCTGCCTTTGGTGATTGATAAACTCTTACTGATATATAAATGACACAAAAAAAAGGTCATATTTGGCTTTTAAACAAACATAGGAATTAGTGAAGGCCAATTTGCCATATTTTCCAGATATGGATAGTGTAGGATACAAATGTCAGCAGCTGAAGTGTACAAAAGTTGGGTGTATGTCATGCAGCTAATGAGTTGGAAGCTATTTGAATTTCCTTAAACCAGAAGCTGAATTTTTAAAGGATTTTCCTGTGGGATCAAAGAATCTGAATGCTTGAAATGTTTGCATAGATTCAGTGTTCTTGTGCAAATGAGAACAGAGCGGTGAGGTTCTGGAAGCTGTGCAGTGGTCCAGTGTGTTCAGCTACATTAGCATATGTCCTTCAAGTCTACACCACTCACTGCCATACAAGGCATACAAAGAAATGATGTTCTGGGAATTCTGGCAAATTGGGAGATCAGCATGCAGCTTTGGGAGTGGGCTGGGATGGTTGTGAACATCCCAGTTTCAGTTTTGTTCTTGCATTTGATGCTTAAGAGAAGCAGGAGAAAGATTAGACTAAACAGATTAAACTTCCTATTTCTTCTTAGAGGTGTGAGAAGATGTTGAAGTAGGGAAACAAGAACACTTGCCTTGTGTAGCTTAATTGCTGTGGTTTTTAGAGGTTTGTGATACTTCACACTATTTTACCTTGTAGGTGTAAATATTCTGGCAGCTTGTGGCAATTTTCAGTTCCCTAACATCCAGACAATTCTATGTTTTCTACAGCGGGAAGTCCTTTTTAGACTGATTGGAAAGTTTCTGTGCCAAATCCACCGGGTTTAGTTGTGTTGTACGCTCCTTCTGATTAAAAAGTGGCATATCCCTTTTATGTAAACTTTCTCTTAATAAAATGCGGGTTTTTGCTTTTTTTTTTTTTTTTTTTAAAGGAGGCAAAGCAGGAGAACAGTAGTATCTAATATCTGTGCTTTTTTGAGATTTAAGTCAGGGAGCTGAGCTACATTGTGGTAATGCCACATAAGCTTCTTGAAGGGCAAATGGAATTCTGAATGTACTTCAACATAAATTAGTGGTTCTTTGCAGGAGTCTGAAATAGTCAAGTCAAAAATATATAAAAAGTATATCTTAACAAAACTTGTAGTGTTCTTGTCCTGACTGCTGCATTGGTGTAGTCTTGTTGAAGTCAAACAGGGCAACTATAAAATGTGGAAAAGTAATTAAAATATAGGTAGTTACCAGGCATGTCCAGAAATCTGTCTTTTTATTCATATTGTCTTGTCATTTATATGCTGCTTTCATTATACAGAAGGACAATATAGTGATATGTTTTGTAATAAATAGTACACTGGAAATACACTGAGGGAAAATAATTTATTGGAAGACAACATACAGGGTTGCTTGACTCTCCTTGACCTATTATTTAAAACTTCAGGCCATGCCATTATCAATTAAAAAAAAGGGTACAGAAAATTTCCCTCCATCTTCCTTTTGTACTCCCTGTATGCACAAGTGAGAATTTGTGGAGGTATTTCTATATTCTTTTGATTTTTTTTCTGTGTGCACTTTTTTCTGGCTTTGAAAGTGTTCTGATCTTCACACAATGTCATGGCAGACTGAGCACTTCTTGATCCAGAAGAGGAACCATTACTGGTTGTTTTAGGTTTTCCAGAGTACTTGAGTTTCTTGGTTTTCTTTTTTCCTCATTTGTTGCATTGGCTCTCTGATTTTTCTGGGCTCTCTACTGTTTGCTATTTTTTCAGGAATAAATCTATTCTGCTAATAGTATTCATGATTTTTTTTTTAATGACACATCATTGCATCAGAATGGAAACTGAGTGAAACTCAGTGTGTCCCTTGCTAACATGTCAGATGCATTATATATTGGAAATACTATGTTTTTTTTCTTAAAAGCAGGTTGGTTTTTCTGCATCTTTTACTTTTGGCAATTTAATGTTTGGAGTTTTCCATATCCAGAACAAAACTTGGATTCTGGAATAGCACTATAAATTTTACTCTTTTTTTTTGCTTATTCTCATCAGTTGAAGTTAAACTGAGATATTATGTTGGCATCATTTTCCTGCTGATGTTTATCCTTTTAATGAATCTTTATCTTCATCCCAGTTTTGCTAAGCTGAATAAGGAAGATCAGTTTTTCTTTTTTAAACAGGCTTTTTAGTCATATCATAGGTTCCCTCTGTAGTTCTTGTAATTCAAACTTATTTTTCTTGAAAAAATTCAGAATTGTATGTGGAATTCCAGACAAGCTGTCGCTCATGTGCAACATTGCTCATATTCCCTATCTTTATTGAAAAGAAATCCTCAATGTGCATTTGCCTATTTGTCCCTCACCCTTTTTTTTTTTCTTTTGCTCCCACAGACCTGCATCAGTTTCTAGTTTACCACAGAAAGACTATAGTCTCAAATAACATGCCCTGACTACATGAAAGAAGACTGTACTGGTCCCCTCATGTGGGAGTCTTGATTTCATATGACTTAATTTCATGTGGCTTCTAGTACACTGTTTTTCAGGACTGGTCACGTGTCTGTGTTATGTTTTGTCCCACTTTTGTTGCAATGCTTTCCACTTCTGTCTCATCCAAATCTGCCTATTCTTTTCTGGCAGCATTGTTTAAAAAAAAAATCAACATACTTCTTTGGAGGAACTAGTTCTTTTCTATGTTTGCAACACCATACTGTAGTCTTGTAGAAAGGTTCTTTCTTGTTTTAAGATTACCTCTCATCACATTTATTTAACCCCAGATGTTATATGAAGCCCAGATTGCATCTTGAGTTTCTTTTTCCCAAAGAAAATGACTGATTAATTTTTTAAAAACTAGATTAGTTCAGTGTGCCCTAAAACTACAAAGGCTTACTGCATTTTTATGCTACTTTACTGTAGCATACAATTGAATTCAGACCACTGAGCCTGATAATTTTTTTCTTCTTTAATTACTGTATTTTTGCCTCTCTAATCATATGATAGCACATTTGATATATTAAAATGCTCTTTGTGTATTTTTGCAACATCTATTTTTTTTTGTGTGGACTTTTTCAGTTCTCCATTTTCAATCTTTCAATGTATTAGCTTCCTCAACTTATGCTTTTACCTTGCAAGGTGCTAATACATCTGCATTCCCATTTACGAGCCTTTATTCCTGTGTCTAGTGGCATTATTTGTATTGTAAACCGAGGCATATTTTATCATCACTAACACTTCTGTGTTGTTTTTCTTTTTTTTTCCCAAGTAGTATTATTTATAAATCATAGGTGGTTTCACTACTCTTTTGGAATGTAGGAAATGGTTTTGTGGCTAGAAAAAGAGGTAGTACAAGTGATCGTCTTTTGCAAAGTAGAAGTAGCAATGTGAGGTATTTCTTCAGTTCCTGAGCAACAGATACTCTCCAATAAGATGACTGATTTCCATTTGCAAAAACTGTTGAAATAGGGTGCAAGATCCCATCAGTTTTGGGCCCTAACTGTCCCAGCACCCAAATGTAATTTCCTGAGATGAGTTCCTAGAATTATGAGAAGTGATGAAGTCATTTAACACACCATGTTAGGGAATTTCTATTATAGCATAAACAAATTAACTGAAAGAACATTCTTAAGTGTGCCTTATATTCAGGAACTTTTCACCTGCAAGAGTACAGGTTAAAATGTTCCTTATATCAGTGGTAAAGAAAATATTTTTTAGAGATAGCTCTGTAAAGTTGGGATAACTTTCAAAGGAAGCGGCAGTGTAAGTGGAGGATTATTTTTGCTCATTTCTCTTCAGACAACTAAAAATGTGTGTGTAGTTTCATTAGGTGGACATAACAAAGTGCCTTCTTATGGAAGCCTGAGGAGACATTTGCACTACGGCGTATTTATAGCTGTGAAAAAAGACAGATGGAATAAACCAGCATCAAAGTGCTGGGCAGAAGTGAAGTGATCAACAATAGCAAAGAAGTGTCTGTAGTACTTCTTCCAAATCGTGCAGCTTCCTCAGATTGCTTACATTTTTTTGATAAACGTTTACCAGAAACATAGGAGGGAGCAAATGTGGGGTGTGGTCTCTATTCTGATCTCTATACTGCCCTCAACCCTGAATATCAGCTGGGAGACCATCTAGAATCACTTGTGCTATTTTTCTGAATCTCTGGACACACAGCAGTATCATTGATTTATACTGGGTTAATGTTTGCAGAGTGCCTGTTGATATGAAAGGAATTTTAGGACAGCAGGTGGGTGGGTAGAATTTCTCTTCCAGAAGAGATGCAGCTTGAGGTAAAGAAATAGAAGTTGTATCTGAATATACCAGATTTGTTTTGCAATTAAGTACTTCTGTTTCTCTAACTCTTTAATTGCCTTTCCATAGAGAAAAAACACATGCAGCAAGCTGGATATCAGTATACCAGCTATGGAAGCTCCTGGTTAACTATACCTACATTATATATCTGAAGTAGATTATCTAGGTGATATTGGTGGTGATATTGGGAACTGTCAATCTTCTGTGAAGGACAGGTTAAAGGCCAGGTATTCAGTGCATACTAATTAGACTGATCCCTGAGCCTTCTCTTCTCTGGCCTGAACAACCCCAGTTCTCCCAGCCTGTCCTTGTATGACAAGTGCTTCAATCCCTCAGTCATCTTTGTGACCCTTTGCAGGACTGACTTCAGTCTGTCATACTGAACCCAGCACTCCAGATGTGTCCCAGCAGTGCCAGATGGAGGGGCAGGATACCTGCCTCAACCTTCTGGCAATGCTCTTAAATAAAATCCAGGGTGCAGCTTTGCTGCAAGGGCACGCTGCTGGCTCATGTTCAACCTGTCCACCAGCACCCTCAGGTCTGTTTATGCAAAGCTGCTTTCCTGCAGGTTGGCCTCCACATAGTACTGGAGGTGCTGAGGTAGAGGGTTTGCATTTCCCATGGGTGAACTTCATAGGTTTCCTGTTTTCAAAACATACTTCTCATCAACACTGCATGTTGTCTGTCATCATGTTCTTTTTGGAGGAGTGTTTATGGTAACATAAAGATTAATAAGTAAAGGGGAATTTAAAAATTGAGCTGCTGACTGAAAATATTGTCACTTGTGTTTTTTCAGACGCTCCTATTGCAAAATCTGCAGTTGAAAAAAACCAATTTTTTTATAAGAAGAGAATGGGTAAGTTCACAATCTTAGAGTGTTTCTTGTTTTTGTATTATTTGAAGCCTTTTCTCTCTCACATCCGTAGAGGAGGTGGATTCTAAGGCTTTAAATGTTGATCTTGTCACTTCTTGTAGCCTCAAACTTCCTATTGGTGTTTTGTGGGAGAATTTTCTCAAGTGACTGTTCATTTATTGGAAGACTTGTTCAGAGTGTATCTATTATAACAAAAAAATTTCACTTGCTTAACATGCATAGTCCTGAAAATGTACGTGCTAAAATAGGAATGCCTCTAGGCTTTTACAGCACTAAACTTTTATGTAGTGGCCAAGAAAATTTCACTGTGTACTTTTCAAAATATTTATTTGTTTGTTTGTTAAATAAAGTCATCCTGTTGAATTCTGGCTCAGAGTTCATAATACAGACTGATTTCTGATAAATTACATTGTGTGTGATATGACTACATTTCTGAAACTGTTGTTTCTGCCTCAACAAATGACTGGTTAATGAAACAGGAGTGGATGGATTCTGGTTTTGTCTGTACTTCCTCTGACTGTATTATAGCATGTTTGGCACTGGTAGAACTTTATTTAAATTGGTAATAGCTGCATAATACAATTTTAACTTCAAGTTCACAAAGCAACTTGACTGGGGGAATATTTTATTTGCTACACAGGCAACAGTAATTCAACTTTTAAAAGTAGCACTGTCAGGATACAATAAAAGAAGGCAGAAAAAGGAAGGGGGATAAAGCCTTCAGAAGAAACAAAGTAGAGAGCAGGTATTCAGCGAAACAGAAGGGAGAAGGGAAACAGAGGCCAGCTGCTGTGGGGAGAATTTTCAAATCTCCCTGCGTTTAGGGCTTTGGCACTTTGCATGCTTTCTGCCAAAGGCCACAGCACAGGTATGCACTGATGCTGTATGGTTCTGGGTTTGGTTGGGCAGTCAGGGAGTATGAGTCTTACTTCATGTCATTTCTTCAGTGCAGGAATATTGACTGCTCTTGTTCTCACCAGTGCTTCCGAAGGCATTTTTTCCTTGCCGTCTGTATTTTTCAGTATCAGATATGTGTTCAGTTAATTTTCAGGAAGTATTCGTATGATAAACATGACTGTAGATTTAATGGAAGGAAGCAGTAGCATGTTCGATCAACTTGAGAATGTCTAAAGGAAAATTTCATCCTATGTAGATTTTAAAAATCATGTCAGAATTTGATGATGGAGGGATGTTAATAAAAAAATTCCAAGTTTTGCAAAATTACTTTAAAACAGATTGCTGGTTACTTCAGAAAAATAATCTTCAAATATGCAAAATGCTTCTTTCTCATTTCTGGTTGTATTGGACTCTTCAGCCTGCAAACGTAGTCATAGAAAAAACTGCAACTTGCATTTTTAGTAATGTGAATCAGTATATTGTGCTCTGAAACCATTGTCTTTTTTTCCATTACAGATGGAGAAGAGAAGACATATGGTGGGTGTGAGGGCCCAGATGCTATGTATGTGAAGTTAATATCCTCTGATGGCCATGAGTTCATTGTAAAAAGAGAGCATGCATTAACATCAGGAACAATAAAAGCTATGTTGAGTGGACCAGGTAGGTACAGAAGACTTAGTACCTTTACCTTCTTTGTTTTCACTTTTGGACAGTTTGAATTTTTATCATGCAGTAAGTGAAAGTTAGAAGAAGTGTTAACTTTTCCACATCCTGCCTAGTTCCTGTTTCCAGCAGAACAGTCTGTTTCTGTTGGGGTATTGTGGTACCAGACTTAAAACTGGACTCTGCTATTTGGGCAGTTAGGGATTTTACTGTCCTACATTGCTACTAGTTTCCCATGGTATGAGAACTTGAGGGTATTATATGAAATGTGGAGCTGCCAAGTTCAAAACAAATGAGAGCTGGTAGTTCTTTATTTCCACATCCATGGCAGAACTTCTGGTATTCCATATGGAGTTCATTTTCTTCATAGCAGGTCACGTGGTTCTGTGCTTTATATTTGTGACTAAAACAGAGCCAATAACACACCTGTTTTAGCTGTTACTGAAAGATGCACACTGTTCAAGCCTCCTCTGTTTCTCACTCTTTCCCCACTCAATAAGCAGACAGGAGGGTGTGTAAGAGGCTGGGAGGGAACACAACCAATGTGACCTGAAAAAATACTGAAGGAGATACTACATTCCATATGTCTTGCTCCAAAGTAAAGAAGGGAGAGATGTAAAAAAGGGAAGTGAGCCATCTTGTGCTTGAGAATTATCTGATCATGAGTCTGCCCATGGGAGGTGGTGTTTACCATTGCATCACTTGTTTTGTTTCCTTTCTCTTCTCTCAGCCTACAAGTTTTCCTGCTTTTACTGTTCCTTTCCTCTTCCCTTGTCCACCCACAGCAGGAGCAAATGATCAAGCAGCTGTGTGGTGCTTTGCTGCCTGCTGGGGTTAAAGCCACATGTTGACAGCATCCTATGGCAAGGAGTTCCTGAGCTTAGTGATGAGTTAGCTTGAGGTGAGGGTAGATAAACTTACAGGAGGGAAGGACCTCACATGTTACTGAATAAATGAGACTGTTTTTGGTTTGAGAAGTATCTGAACTAATTTTTGAACACCAAAAGGGTGGGGGAGAGAACAGGGAGAAGTTAACGCAAGTGCTTTCTCTCTTCTATACTTTCATCCTATGTGTTTACCTTTGGCCACTTCAGTGGTTGGGCGGTAGGCTACATGGAGCTTGGAGCTGAATATGGTCTTTCTTATGTTCTCTTTTAGATTCTGGTGAGACTGGAGAGATCTATTGGTTTAATATATTTTTTAATTACTTAGTAATACTTGGGCAAACTAAACAGTTAAAATTCTCAGTGTCATTTTAATGGTTGCATTTGAAAATACGTAGTAAGTGTTTTGTGTCCATGCCAGCCTCCCAGACATCTAAGAGGAACAATAGTTACAAGACTTGCTCTGAATTCATTCAGTGTGAATGAATAAAAGACAAGGTAGCCTGCTTAGAGGGCTAGAAACTGAGTCTGTATAGGACTCAGCAGTCCAGAATATTTTATATAAGTACTAACAAGATAAATGGGTCACAAGGAAAAGTACTGTTGCTGTCTAGTTCAGTAGGTCATAATTTCATTGATGTGCAGGTCTTTTGTTTCAGTGCTGTAGCTTGGCCAATAAGTTATCATTTCTTCTTTTGCTTCCAACTATTCCTGTACTACAATTCAAGCCATATTGGCTTCAGTACATGCAGATATTTCTACACAAATCTGTGCAGACATTAGTCAATAGTTCTGCTCTGTAGCTAGAAGGAAATGCCCACAGAAATAGTGGGAACTAAACATTGCTAGTCTCCCACAAACATGGAGTTAATGTTAGTATTTTTATTGTTTTTCAATTAATGGCTTGAAAGTCCAAAGATGTGAGGGGAAGAGAGACAAAAATAATAGAAATCCTGTGAGATTAACCATAGGATCCTAACTTTTGTATCATCCACATTTCATGGTTATAGGCCCTATAGCTAGCAAATTTCAAATGTACTTGTGTTTTGAGATTTGGAATTCTGAATAAATCTCTTTAGCATCTAACAGGGATAAACTTGTACTGCATGTAAACTTCCCTCCAGTACAACTGAATTTTCCTGTCCCTGCTGTCTATCTTTTTCCACAGCTTATGAAGTTAATGTGTCTTTGAGGTTTCAACTCTCTTGTCAATTCTACCTGAAACTGAGGAATTCAAAGCTACTGGGTTCATAGAAGGGACTACTGATATACACACGTATGTGTGCAAATATGAAACATCTAGGAACCTTTTTTTTTTCCTTGGATAAGACAGCCAGAAATTTGGATTAATGCCTCTTAGAGCATAGCACACAGCTAAGTACTTATCAGCTATATTGGAGTAAACCTAAATTTCTGATGTAGTTGTTCAAAATGATGTTGATAGGCTGCAGCCTAAATAAACATTTCATAATGCTGGGTGTCTTAATATTTTGAGGGCTCTGAATGTGACACATCCTGCTTTACAATGGAGAATCTAATACCCCGGAAGATGAGACTTAGGCAGGTCTATTTAGAATACGTTGTATTAATATGGTAAGTTGTTTCATTTTGCAGTGAATTGAGATTTTGACTTCTGGTTTGGTGTTCTTTTGTGTTGTTTTTTTCTTTCTACAGGTCAGTTTGCAGAAAATGAAACAAATGAGGTCAATTTTAGAGAGATCCCATCCCATGTTCTATCCAAAGTATGCATGTATTTCACCTACAAGGTCCGCTATACTAACAGCTCTACGGAGATTCCTGAATTCCCAATTGCACCTGAAATTGCACTGGAACTTCTGATGGCTGCAAACTTCTTAGATTGTTAAATAAAATAAATTATAATAAAAAATGTAAAACTTTTTTCAGTATTTAATACATGTAGTTCAGTTAGTAACTTTTTCAGATAGCATGTTGCGTGTGTGCTGTTGAGAACTGTAAAGTTCACTGCAGAGGCAATTGCCTTCAGTTCTTTTGCATATAGCAATCATTCAGTTGGAGTTTGTTTTGCTGCTTACACAAATAAGGACTTTTCACAAACTGAGACAAATAAACAAATATGCCAATTAGTAGATGGCTATGCCTTATCCTTTAGGTGTGGTAGAACTTTCTTTTAATACAGTGGCTGTAGCAAATACTGGAGTTTAGTCTAATACTCTCTAAAAGATAATTATAGTTACATTTAAGTAGCTGTTAAGGGTTTCTAGCTTTCTCTTATTTTTAAAGTTTCTAAACATCTGAACTTAATCTCCTTTGTAAGATAGCTGTCCTGTAGCATAGTTACACTAACTAGATTAGAAGTGCCCTCTTTGTATACTGTCAGTGATATTCCATTTAGGTTCAAAGTGGAGTATGTAGGAGAATGCTTAAGGCTTTTAATTTAAGTCATAGTTTAGAAATGTGCAAAGGTGTTCTTGATAACATTTTGCTTCTATAACCTCAATTTACCCCATTAGTAATTTCAAATATTCCAGTCACTTGTCTGTACAGTAAGACTGTGATCCTACTGACAGTGACTTCTAAGGGGCAAAATAACTGTTGAAAGCTGTGTATATTGTCTTCTATATAACATATATGGTTTTTCTTAATATACTGTCACTTGACCTGATAAGGATTTTATATGGCTTCAGTTATGGTTTATTTCCATTGTTCTGATTGTTTATGTAAAGTCTGTATTTAATCTCTAGAGTAGTAGTCATTTAAACTTTGTAACATAGCAACTGAAAATATAGAAGTTGTCCTACCTTTTACCTCTTCCTCAATCTCTCCCTTGTACCCTTAGCAAAAGACCCTGAAATGTGGAGGTCTTTTATATTTGAAGGAAAGGACATTAAGCAGATGTTTTAGGAGCTGTTTTATAAATTTCATAGGTATTTCCAGTGTTTTTACAAATGTTTTAGGGAAAAAGGATTGGCAAGCCACTGACATAATACTAGAGTGGAATATGTTATCTTTTGGTAGATCCTGCTGGCTGTTGCCTGTAGTATCAGTTCTTTGTTCAAAACAAGTTTCCATAAAGAAAACAACAGCTTAAGACAAGAAGTTGCTTTTTGTTCAGCTGCAGCCTGAAGAACCCTTCTGCTAAAATCATCTGTAAATGAGAATAAAACTAATGCATCATGAGAAATGATGCAAGAACAATATAATTAGCATTTCCATCAGCTGCCACTGCTTCAGCTTTGTTTTGATCAAGAAGTGATTGTGGTCTATCATGGAAAAATCCCACCAGCTGATGGTGGAACCTCTTTCTTGATGTTTTAACTAACAGCTAATTTAGAGGGCTGAAACTCTCCTCTAAACCTGTTTGTCAACATAAATACAGCTTGGAAGAGATTTTCCTGGATGAAAACTAGTAACTTAGATAGACTATGCAGTCTGCCCATGGAGGAGGTCAGTTCTGACAAATGAAATTTTATTCTGGGCTTAAACAATGCTGACGTTTGTCAGTGTGTTGGTAGATTAGCTGACATTTACTCACGTCACATACTTTGGCACAATTTAATGTGTTTAATGTGGGGATGTTTGTGACTAGATTGGCTTTGCACGGTAAAGCTGAAGTGCATTATAGGGTGATTGTCTGAAATTCAATGTGTAAGCACTCTGGTCAGTGCTGTTAGTAACTCATTTTCAAGAGCACTAGAATGAGAAACCAGAGATACCCTGTTATGCTGCTTTTGTTAGAGCCGCTAGGAATACCCTAAAAGGTCAAGGAATACCAACATGGATATTTTAGTCACAACTACATATCAGTCTGAGTGAGTCTTAAGTTCACTGGCCATTTTTAAGTCTTGAGGCTAATGACTTGAGGTTAAAAATTATTTCGTTTTAAACTAAGGCAAAAACAATGTCATTTTTTACAACAGTGGGGTTTTTTCATTTTTTTCTCTTCCCCTTTTTAAGCATTCTAGAACAATTTCTTTAATTTTGTTAAAATACATTTGCATTTTAAGATTCTGTACTTTAGCAGTAAGGTAAAATAGCTGGTTTAGCTCTGAATAATAATTTTGTTGGTTTTCTTTCAGCTTAATGTATTATACAGTAGCTTTGAACACTCAGGAATTGCAGTAGTGTCCTAGAGTGCACTATTTGCAAAACCACCGGCTGTTAAAATGAACCAGATTTCTAAGGGGGAGGGGGGCAGGGGGAATTAGTGCAATTTCCATGGTAGTTAAATGGGTATGCTATTATCAGACAATTGGAAACTTACCACGCTTAACCACTGAGTTCTAAATAAATTTCAAAGTTGAAAATTTTTAAACCTGTGTTTCTGTTGATTTATGATACGTTAAGAGGAAGTGTTCATACGCAGAATTATCGTTTTCATGGCTCTACTATACGGTGAGCAAAATGCTAATGTAATTAGTATTTGGATAATAGGTTGTGAAGCTGCATGTATAAAATAAAAGGTGATGGGTTTTTTCATAGTTCTGAAGTCACAGAGTTGAAGTGTTAAGATATCTTTGTACTGCTCTGAATTACAAGCATCCACAATTCTCAGCACCAAGTACTAAAAAGGCATGGTATTCCTGAACAGGCTTAAGGAGGATACTTTCAAGGATACTTCAAGGATATCCTGCTGGGGATATTTTGAAAACTTCAAGTGTCCTGTGCTACTTCTTTTACTTAGAAAAGGAGCCCTATACTTGGGGTTCAAATTTTAAGCTGAACTGCTGATTTAGTCATAAAACCTTCCAGATTCTTTATTAACTGTAAACAATGAGTAGAGTCATGCTGTGTTATGGGTTGTCATCATTAGAGTGTGTATAAGCTGCTGAAGAAGTCTGATGGTCTCCAGTGTGAAATAGTCTGTGCATTTAGAATGATCAGAACTCCCTTCCCCAAAATACGAAATTCCTTTTTGGTTTTGAGCTTGAAGAAAGGAGGATTCACCATCAGGATTCTCTGTGCCGTTGTATTCAACAGATGTTGAACACGGTATCCGAAAGGCAATTCTCAATTAAAGGTAGGAAGTTTGGAAAATCAGTTGCTTCTGTCTGTGTTTTATTACTGTCTATTTTTGTCCTGGTTTGGGGCAAGTTTGGGAGATAACCCCCAAAGGGCCTTCTCTACGAAATTCACAGGCCTAAATTGCAGTAGTGACTAGTTTTTTACCCCTTTCTTCTTTTTACTTTGCCCAGGTGCTCCCTGGGTGCTCCCAAAACTTGCCTAAATCTGTTGGTTTATGTGATGAAGTGGACAAGGAATGTTGTGGGACAGGAAAATTAACTTCTCAGTCCATGTTTTGTACTCCTAGTTTAATTTTGCCAGGTCTCAAATATTGCAATGTAATTTAAGGGATTAACAGTTACTGCAGAGTAAACAAAAGCACAAGGTGAAGTAGCACTATTCCTACCTAAAAACTAAGGGTGGAAGCTGTGGTATAAGCTTAATTTCAACACCTGAGTAAGACTTTTTAAGAAGAGCAGGAGTAAGAGAAATAGCAAGAACTCATTAAAGATTGAGTGAATTTGGAAATTAAACTATGATGCTTGTTTTTAAAGGCAGACTAAAGCTTTAGGGATTTTTCCCATAGAAAAAGTTCAACTTTTGAAGGCTTTTGACAAATAATGAACTGCATTGGAGTTGAATTTCTTTTTAAATGTGGCTTATTAGATGGCAATTTTATGGGAAGATAACCAATGCTGTGAACTGCAGGTGCGGCTCAATGTTTGGATGAGCTAGGAAAGAGGACAAAGTAGATTCTGTGTTTATTATTAGTCACCTCTGAAGCTTGAGTGTCATCACTAAGGCAGCACAGAGAAAAGAAGAGGGAGTTTTTACCGAGTTTTAACGAGTGTTATGTGTCATGAAATAAAGCTTTGCATATGCTGCATCTGAAATGTAGGTTGTGCAATTTCTCTTCTGTGGGAGAAAGGTCACTTGGATTAACAAAAAAAACCCAACAAAATAAAAAAAAAATCTGTCTCTCTGTCATTACCATCTTACTGTTTTATGTTTACAGAATAGAGAATTTTCTTCTCACGCTAAATGGGAGGAGATCAGAGTTGTGAAATCATGATTGCTCTTTGACAAATGGAGTACTTCAACATTTTATCCTTTTGAACTTTTGTAATCAGTTTTCAATATGTGAGTCATGTAATGTTTTGTTGTCTCCTATGTTGAGGGTAGAATTGGAAAATTAAATTAAAATTGCCCCTGAAATAAGTACTGCCTTTAGATCAGTGAAAGAGAGCTTCTAGATAAATTTAAATTTACAGTTCAGTGCTAAAGTTGCTAGTTTTCAGAATAGTTTTGTGGGATTAGTTTTTTGTGAATACATGAATGGATTAATGCAATTCTGTATTTATTTGTAGTTCATTTCTTTCTTCAACCAGAAGTTACTTTAAAGTTAAAAAACCAAATACTGTTAATTCCATTAATTCACATTGAAAACTGCCTTTTCAGGTGAGAATTCATAGCCAGGGCTTTTCTTCCCATGAAAAAAAATATTACTGGTATCCTATTTACACTAATAAAAAAATGTATCTACCAAATCACCACTACACAAAACTATAAATAATACATAATCTGTATCTTATGTTGCTATGAATTCTTCTTATTCTGTCTAGCAAAACAATGGGATGCCTGTTATGCAGATTAACAAGTTGTCAGTCTTGGTTGGTATTACCAAGCTTGAAGAATATCTAGAATTTAAATACATTTGGCACAAAGGATTTATTTTCTCTTTCTATACAGGGAAAAGCTTCCCGCATTACCATACTAAGCTGACATGTAATGTTTTTCAGAAGTGACACTCCATTTGAGTCAGAATTATTTGTAGTTTTCTACAAATGAAACATGAAAATGATGTATCAATATTTAACATTTAAGGTGCTTTCACAGTTGTCATAGATATTTGACTTGTAATAAACATCTGTGATTTAAGGAGAGAACATCTGAAAATACTCAGCTGAAATAGTCAACTGCTCACCCATTCTGTTTTTATATCATGGCTCTGGTTCGTGGTAATTGTATCCCATATCAAATCTTGTCTTTCCCGAGGGACATTAAATAAACCAACAGGCTGGACCAGTGTCGTCTTGGTGTACAGGCCTGTGAAATGAAATTC